TCAAATAAAGGATGTGAAAAGAGACAAAGAAGGACACTACATAATGATCAAAGGACCGATCCAAGAAGAAGATATAACAATTATATATGCACCCAACATAGGAGCACCGCAATATGTACAGCAAACGCTAACGAGTATGAAAGAGGAAATTAATAGTAACACAATAATAGAGGGAGACTTTAATACCCCACTCACAACTATGGATAGATCAACTAAACAGAAAATGAACAAGGAAACACAAACCTTAAATGACACAATGGACCAGCTAGACCTAATTGATATCTATAGGACATTTCACCCCAAAACAATCAACTTCACCTTCTTCTCAAGTGCACATGGAACCTTCTCCAGAATAGATCACATCCTGGGCCATAAATCTGGTCTTGGGAAATTCAAAAAAATTGAAATCATTCCAGTCATCTTTTCTGACCACAGTGCAGTAAGATTAGATCTCAATTACAGAAAAAAAACTGTTAAAAATTCAAACATATGGAGGCTAAATAACACGCTTCTGAATAACCAACAAATCATAGAAGAAATCAAAAAAGAAATCAAAATATGCATAGAAATGAATGAAAATGAAAACACAACAACCCAAAACCTATGGGACACTGTAAAAGCAGTGCTAAGGGGAAGGTTCATAGCATTACAGGCTTACATCAAGAAACAAGAAAAAAGCCAAATAAATAACCTAACTCTACATCTAAAGCAACTAGAGAAGGAAGAAATGAAGAACCCCAGGGTTATTAGAAGGAAAGAAATCTTAAAAATTAGGGCAGAAATAAATGCAAAAGAAACTAAAGAGACCATATCAAAAATCAACAAAGCTAAAAGCTGGTTTTTTGAAAAAATAAGCAAAATTGACAAACCATTAGCAAAACTCATTAAGAAACAAAGAGAGAAGAACCAAATTAACAAAGTTAGAACTGAAAATGGAGAGATCACAACAGACAACACTGAAATACAAAGGATCATAAGAGACTACTACCAGCAGCTCTATGCCAATAAAATGGACAACTTGGAAGAAATGGACAAATTCTTAGAAAAGTATAACTTTCCAAAACTGAACCAGGAAGAAATAGAAGATCTTAACAGAGCCAGCAAGCAAGGAAATCGAGACTGTAATCAGAAATCTTCCAGCAAACAAAAGCCCAGGACCAGATGGCATCACAGCTGAATTCTACCAAAAATTTAGAGAAGAGCTAACACCTATCTTACTCAAACTCTTCCAGAAAATTGAAGAAGGTAAACTTCCAAACTCATTCTATGAGGCCACCATCACCCTAATTCCAAAACCAGACAAAGATGCCACAAAAAAAGAAAACTACAGGCCGGTATCACTGATGAACATAGATGCAAAAATCCTTAACAAAATTCTAGCAGAATCCAACAACATATTAAAAAAATCATACACCATGACCAAGTGGGCTTTATCCCAGGAATGCAAGGATTCTTTAATATCTGAAAATCAATCAATGTAATACACCACATTAAAAAATTGAAAGATAAAAACCATATGATTATCTCAATAGATGCAGAGAAAGCCTTTGACAAAATTCAACACTCATTTATGATTAAAACTCTCCAGAAAGCAGGAATAGAAGGAACATAATAAAAGCTATATATGACGAACCCACAGCAAGCATTACCCTCATTGGTGAAAAATTGAAAGCATTTCCCCTGAAATCAGGAACAAGACAAGGGTGCCCACTCTCACCACTACTATTCAACATAGTGTTGGAAGTGTTGGCCACAGCAATCAGAGCAGAAAAAGAAGTAAAAGGAATCCAGATAGGAAAAGAAGTGAAACTCTGTTTGCAGATGACATGATCCTCTACATAGAAAACCCTAAAGACTCTACCAGAAAATTACTAGAGCTAATCAATGAATATAGTAAAGTGGCAGGATATAAAATTAACACACAGAAATCCCTTGCATTCCTATACACTATCAATGAAAACACAGAAAGAGAAATTAAGGAAACGATACCATTCACCATTGCAACAAAAAGAATAAAATACTTAGGAGTATATCTACCTAGAGAAACAAAAGACCTATACATAGAAAACTATAAAACACTGATGAAAGAAATCAAAGAGGACACAAACAGATGGAGAAATATACCGTGTTCATGGACTGGAAGAATCAATATTGTCAAAATGGCTATTCTACCCAAGCAATCTATAGATTCATTGCAATCCCTATCAAGCTACCAACGGTATTTTTCAAAGAACTAGAACAAATAGTTTCACAATTTGTATGGAAATACAAAAAGCCTCGAATAGCCAAAGTAATCTTGAGAAAGAAGAATGGAACTGGAGGAATCAACCTGCCTGACTTCAGTCTCTACTACAAAGCCACAGTCATCAAGACAGTATGGTACTGGCACAAAGACAGAAATATAGATCAATGGAACAGAATAGAAAGCCCAGAGATAAATCCATGAACCTATGGTCACCTTATCTTCGACAAAGGAGGCAAGGATATACAATGGAAAAAAGACAACCTCTTTAACAAGTGATGCTGGGAAAACTGGTCAACCACTTGTAAAAGAATGAAACTAGAACACTTTCTAACACCATACACAAAAATAAACTCAAAATGGATTAAAGATCTAAATGTAAGACCAGAAACTATAAAACTCCTAGAGGAGAACATAGGCAAAACACTCTCCGACATAAATCACAGCAGGATCCTCTATGACCCACCTCCCAGAATATTGGAAATAAAAGCAAGAATAAACAAATGGGACCTAATGAAACTTAAAAGCTTTTGCACAACAAAGGAAACTATAAGTAAGGTGAAAAGACAGCCCTCAGATTGGGAGAAAATAATAGCAAATGAAGCAACAGAGAAAGGATTAATCTCAAAAATACATAAACAATTCCTAAAGCTCAACTCCAGAAAAATAAATGACCCAATCCAAAAATGGGCCAAAGAACTGAACAGACATTTCTCCAAAGACATACAGATGGCTAACAAACACATGAAAAGATGCTCAACATCACTCATTATCAAAGAAATGCAAATCAAAACCACAATGAGGTACCATTACATGCCAGTCAGGATGGCTGCTATCCAAAAGTCTACAAGCAATAAATGCTGGAGAGGGTGTGGAGAAAAGGGAACCCTCTTACACTGTTGGTGGGAATGCAAATTAGTACAGCCGCTATGGAAAACAGTGTGGAGATTTCTTAAAAAACTGGAAATAGAACTGCCATATGACCCAGCAATCCCACTTCTGGGCATACACACCGAGGAAACCAGATCTGAAAGAGACATGCGCACCCCAATGTCCATCGCAGCACTGTTTATAATAGCCAGGACATGGAAGCAACCTAGATGCCCATCAGCAGACGAATGGATGAGGAAGCTGTGGTACATATACACCATGGAATATTACTCAGCCATTAAAAAGAATTCATTTGAATCAGTTCTAATGAGATGGATGAAACTGGAGCCCATTATACAGAGTGAAGTAGCCAGAAAGATAAAGAACATTACAGCATACTAACACATATATATGGAATTTAGAAAGATGGTAATGATAACCCTATATGCAAAACATAAAAAGAGACACAGATGTACAGAACAGACTTTTGGACTCTGTAGGAGAAGGCGAGAGTGGGATGTTTCGAAAGAACAGTATGTATGTTATCTATAGTGAAACAGATCACCAGCCCAGGTGGGATGCATGAGACAAGTGCTCGGGCCTGGTGCACTGGGAAGACCCAGAGGAATCGGGTGGAGAGGGAGGTGGGAGGGGGGATCGGGATGGGGAATACATGTAACTCCATGGCTGATTCATGTTAATGTATGACAAAACCCACTGAAATGTTGTGAAGTAATTAGCCTCCAACTAATAAAAATAAATGAAAAAAAATTTAAAAAAAATAAAGTAATATGTTGCACAGGACAAATACAGAACCTTCATCTTTAAGACCTCCAGTTTCTCAAGCCCTCAGGGCCGTACCACACATCCAATAGTGCAAATCATCTGAAGCAGCAGCCTCAAAGCATACATGTGCCTAGCTAGCCAACTACACGGAGAACTGTATATTGCCTTTTAGTGGCTCAGATAGTAAAGAATCTGACTGCAGTGCAAAAAACCCAGGGTCCAATTCCTGGGTCAAGAATATCCGCTGTGGCAGGGCATGTCAATCTACTCCAGTATTCTTCCCTGGAGAATTCTATGGACAGAGGAGCCTGGCGGGCTATAGTCCATAGACTCACAGAGAGTCAGACACAACTGAGCGACTTTCACTTTTTTCATGCCTAGTGATCTTCTAAAAACAGGTTCAGATCATCATCGATCAGGTTTGCTTAATTAATGGTAGAGATGAGTAAGAGAACATACACATCCCACAGGCTAGCCTAAAAAAGCCTGGAAGAGCATGAGGTGAAACAAGTGAACTCCCCAACCTCACAAATCAGGTTAATCACTTCCTCCTGTGCGGAGGGTGAAGCATGGGATGTAGAAAGAGAATGTAACTGAAAATGTTATTCCAACGCTGTTGAGAAGTGGAGCATAAGTTTGATACTAATTTTCTAAGGCTACTATTAAAAATTATCACCGATTTAGTGACTTCAAACAACAGTATATCTGGCAACCAGACACAAGTGAGCAAGTGGCGCAGTGCCAGAGCAAGCCAGGCGCTCAGGTCGGGTGGGCAACAAGAAGGAGCATGCCCAGGCCCAGCTCTGGCTCGGGCACTCCTCAAGCCCAAGCCCAAGCCCCAGCTCCGCTGGCCCCAGGGCCCCCACACGCCCTGACCCTAAGCCCTGTGTTCACCTCAAGACCCAGCCGCGGGTTGCCCGGCTCACGGGGCTGCAGGAAGACTAGGGAGGGCTTCCGGGTACTCCTGTATAGCTGAGAGGTGGCCAATTTCGGGCCCAACACCTACCACAAGGGCCACTACCTTCAAGGCGCGCCCCAAGTTCCCCACCTATTTCCACGCTTCAAGTTCCGCATCTGTTTCCTTACCCCTTCGGCCTCTCAGTTCCTGGCCAGGGCGTGACACCTCGACACCGACAAGACCGGACCTCCAGGCTCCACACCCCAGGCCCGGGGACCAGCCCCAGCGCCAGAAACTCCTCCGGCGCCTCACCTCCCTCCTCAGCAACGCTTCTCCTTGGTGAGAAGGACCTCTTCTCCCCGGCCATGGTGATTCACAGGGAACGGAAAGAGAACAAAGGCGAGGAGCCGGCACTCAGGAATGCTCTCGAAGCAGGTAGCGGGACGGAGGTGGGCGCGCAGGGCGGGGGCGCAGAGCGGCTGGTCCCACAGGTGGGAGCGCGGAGTGAAGACCAGGGCGCCTGCGCAGGAGGCGGCCCCACTCTGCCCACGAGGCCCACGCCAGGCCGGGAAATGCGCTCAGGAGGAGGAGGATGACCCGCAAGCAGGAGTTCTGACTCGCCCGCACCCCGCCCCATGAAATAAACCTACAAGTTTTACAAAAACGACAAACAGAATTGTACACTCAGAGTTCTAGAGGCCAGAAATCCAAAATTAAAGTGTCAGCAGCACTGGTACCTTCTGGAGACTCTGATAAGAGAATCCATGCCTTACCTATTTTCTATTTGTTGATGATTTTTGGCTTCCTTTGCATTCCTCCACTAGTAATTGCATAACTCTAAGTCTCTGCGTCCATCTTCACAAGGCTTCCCCCTGCCCCAACCCTCCCTCCCCTTTCTCTTAGAAGGGTACCAGCCATTGGATTCATAGCCTATCCTACCTCTAGGATACTCTCAGACATAAGAGACAAGGGTTCAATCCCTGGGTGGGGAAGATCCCCTGGAGGAGGGCATGAAAACACTCCAGCACTCTGCCTGGAGAATCCCATGGACAGAGGAGCCTGGTGGGCTACAGTCCACAGGGTCACAAAGAGTCTGACATGACTGAAGCAAAACACACAGCACAAAATCCTTATTTAATCTACTTCAGTTTAGTCCAGTCACTCAGTGATGTCCGACTCTTTGTGACCCCATGGAATGCAGCACTCCAGGCCTGCCTGTCCATTGCCAGCTCCCAGAGTTTACTCAAACTCATGTCCATTGAGTCGGTGATGCCATCCAACCATCTCATCCTTTGTCATCCACTTCTCCTCCTGCCTTCAGTCTTGCCCAGCATCAGGGTCTTTTCCAATGAGTCAGTTCTTCACATCAGGTGGCCATAGTATTGGAGCTTCAGCTCAACATCAGTCCTTCCAATGAATATTCAGGACTGATTTCTTGAGGATGGACTGGTTGGATCTCCTTGCAGTCCAAGGGACTCTCAAGAGTCTTATCCAACACCACAGTTCAAAAGCATCAATTCTTTGGCACTCAGCTTTCTTTATAGTCCAACTCTCATATCCATACACGACTACTGGAAAAACCATAGCTTTGACTAGACAGACCTTTGTTGGCAAAGTAATATCTCCTCTTTTTAATATGCTGTCTAGGCTGGTCATAACTTTTCTTCCAAGGAGCAAGTGTCTTTTAATTTCATGGCTGCAGTCACCATCTGCAGTGATTTTGGAGCCCCCCAAAATAAAATCTGTCACTGTTTCCATTGTTTCCCCATGTATTTGCCATGAAGTGATGGGACCAAGATTCTGTTTCAATACAAGATTACATTTACAAGTCAAAATGACTTGGACAGATAGTTTCGGGCAATACTAAACAATCCTTATGAAAACATGAGAACAAGAATTCTCCCCCTACTCCTCTTTTGTTCTAGGAACTGTGCCAGGCACCAGAAATTCATAAATGAGTAAAATCCTTGCGGTCCCTATCCTTGTGCTCACAGCCCATTCATCACTTTCCCTACGGCCAATGTCATAACAGAATGGTCTCCTAATCTTTCTCCCAGCCTTAAGTCCAACTTATCTGTCAGATATGAAACAAAATTAGGCAAAAGAAAAAAAAGAACCTATAGTAGAAGAAATAAGCAGTAAGCATTGTCTCTCAGTGTCTTATAACAAGAAAACCTTGTGCCTTATTGATGTCTGAGACAAATAGCCAAGGGTCTTCTTTATGTCATTCTCACTCAAGGACCAAAGTTCATGCTTCTAGAAGAGCTAAGGCCAAGACTCAATGGCAGACCAGATAGTGTGTCTTACAGTTTCTGCAGACACGGCATATATTAGCATTGGTAAAAGTGAGTTATGTGGTTATGCTTCAAAGGCGGACAAAGAAGTATAATCCTAATAGAGGCTTAGAAGTGGGAAGAACTGAAACTATTTGGTGAGTTGCTCAAATAACTACCACAATCATTTCTTCTGTTTAAATATTTTTAATGGATCTATCTCACCTAAAGACTCAAGTTTACACTCCTTAGCATGGCATTCCAGGCTCTATAGGGTGCTCCCAATCTCAATTTTCAGCCTCATTCTCCCTCCTTCACTGCCATATATGCTCCAGCTACCCTAAATTTCAGGGCTTCCCTGATAGCTCAGTTGGTAATGCAGGAGATCCCAGTTCAATTCCTGGGTCAGGAAGATCTGCTGGAGAAGGGTTAGGCTACCCACTCCAGTATTCTTGGACTTCCCTATGGCTCAGCTGGTAAAGAATCCACCCGCAATTCAGGAGACCTGGGTTGGGAAGATCCCTTGGAGAAGGGAAAGGCTATTCACTCCAGTATTCTGGCCTGAAGAATTCCATGGACTGTATAGTCCATGGGGTCACAAAAAGTCGGACACGACTGAGTGACTTGCACTTTCACACTAAATTTCACTACTCAAAATTCCCAGCTGTTCCCTGCTCTCTATCCTCCAGGCCTTTTTTTCACTGTTCCCTTTACCTGGAACAACCTTGAGTTCACTTTCCAAATTTTTTCTTAAAGTTTTCTTCTTTGAAGCGGTCTCCTTAGGTAGAATTAATCTCTCCAGCTGCAATCAGATTTCATTTTTACTTATCTCATTCCTTCACTGATTTATTTACTCAAGAAGTAAATCATATGCCAGGCAGTGTACTGCAGTAAGAGAAAAGAGTATAGCTTTAGCCTCAGAACACTTACTACGTAGCAGAGGAGAAAGAAAAGTAACAGGCAGTCACAATTCAGGTGTGCATGAGCCACTGTAGGAGAAATGTGAGGTGTGAGGGAGCCCCTGGCACAGTGAGGATATTCTCAGAGGATAGAACAGTTAAAATGAGATCAGAGGTAGTTAGCCAAGAAAAGGAGTGGGGAGGAGAAAGATGTGCTGGGTGGAGAGAAAAGTCTGTATGAAGCTCGAGAGAACACGTGGTAAGTTTGGAGAACTGAAAATATGTACTTAAGAAATACAGGGGAAATATGTGGCATACACTGTAAAGCAAATTGAAGACTGAACCACAGTTCCCAAATTTGATGGCAAATGAGTGCCTATTTCCTACTTCCATGATTCAGCATGGGGACTGGTTCCTTAATTTGGCTTCCTTGATCTATCAACTTTTCTGAGATATTTATTTTTGTCCCTTAATGCTACCTCCTAACATTATGTTTCCTTCTTTTTCTGTTATATATATTCCTGCTTAATTTTTTGCAGTATTCTATTAATAGTATTCAATATTAATATTGTTACATCAACTTTTTATATATAATTTAGTGTTATTTTCTCTTCTCATTTTTAATTATTCCATAATATTTTATGTAAGGCATGCCTATACACAGCTTATATTTTATTTTTAAACTAGATTTTTTAATCCATTATTAGAAAAGTGAATTTAATCTGAAGCTAATTTCTGTAATTATTGATACATTTGAATTTCTACCATTTTACTCTATATTTTATTTTTTGCTATTTATTTTTATTGGTTTTCTTTTCTCTCTTTTTTTTTGTGGGGGTGGTGCTATCTTTCATTAAATGATTTCTCAAACTTTTCTGTTTGCTTTTCAGTTTGGGAGTTATGCATTTTGTGCTGGATTTTTAAGAAGCATTTACAATATGATGACAAAGCCAATCAATCTCTCTTTTCTCTCCTGAAAAAGACAAGGACCTTAGCACATAGTACCTTCCTGTACCTCATAACTTTCAAGTTAGTATGTGGTATTTTATTTCTAGTCTGTTTTCAAACACAAATATTGTTATGCCTGTTACTCTGTGGAAAGTATTTTTTAGAATTATGTTCTATGTTTTACTGCTTCCTTTGTTCATCATCACTTCTTGTACCCCCTAGCTTCACTTCGCAATCATGTTTCTCTTTCCTGGAGTATGGTCCCCCAACTATTCAGAATACACCCTCAGACCTGGGTATATGGCCCTGATGTGTGACCTAGCACTTTAAAGGGTCCCTCTGTCCTTCTCCCTGTGCGTCTATCTTTAAGAGCTAAGGAATCCAGGAGTTGAAGAAGATATACCCATCTGGGCATGTACCTCTTATCTTCTGGACCATATTTCAAAGATTCAGGACCCTGGAATTTCCTGCCTGGATGGCAATTGTTAGGGGCAGACTAAGTTTCTGGTTTAAATTTCTGGTTCCCATGGAACTTTAGCTCCTACTGTTTGATACTAGTTCCTTTCCAGTTTCCAACCTGTATAAATTTTCCTGTATTCATTTTGAGTTCAGCTGTGTGTATGTGTGTGTGCGTGCACGCGCACATGCACAAAACATGTCACTTAATAAACCTATATATTTTGAGTAGAAGGATTGTTGGGGGCAAGGAGACACTATTTTTCATGTGCTAAGCGCACTCTCTTAACCTTAACTTTACGTGTAAATTAAATGTAAAATATAAGTGAAATAAAATTAATTGAATCACACTGATTAATTTTAAATTAAATTACTGTACATGAAGTAAGCCTCTTACTGTGGCCCTTGGACTAGGTATAAGTAACTCTATGATGTACGGCAAATTACTTTATCATTCTGAGCTACAATTTCTCTTTTTAAAAAGGAGATTAGTGTGAGCTGCACATAGTGACTTCCATCCAAAAAGTACAGTACAGAAAGAGGGGACAGAGAGGCAACTTTACAGCTGAGAAACCTGACAAACGACTTCTACCAAGTGATAGAGATCACATTTAAGGTGATAAGTAGTGTTAATAATAGGCACTCTTGATAGAATGTGATTAGAATGGTACTTTATCTCTGTGCTTTTCTTTTCAAAACCCAATCTAATCATGAAGAAAATATCAGACTCCAATGAGGGATCCTACAAAATACCTGACCGGTACAACTCAAAACTGTCGAAGTCATTAACAGAAAAAGGTCTGAGAAACTCTACAACCTATAGGAGCCTAAAGGGACATGACTAATAAATTTAACATAGTATCCTAAATGGCATTTTAGAACAAATAAAGGTATTAGTTAAAAACTAAGATAATCTGAATAAAATATGAACTTTATTATTATAGCAGATATACTAATAATGTAAGATATCACTGTTAATAATGGGAAAAACTAGATGTGGGGTTTATGGGAACTCTCTTC